CCAGTGAACCCCATGGCCATGGCCATGAACCCCGCCCAGCTCGCCTACGGCTACCTCGCCCAGCAGCAGCAGCAGCAGCAACAACAGCAGCAGCCGTACCAGCACGCCGGCGGCTACGGCGTTCAGGCGGCCGGCATGCCTCCCCAGCAGCAGGCCTACAACACTCAGCCGGTACGACCACGCACACGCACCACCGCACACGGCCCATCTCACCGTTGTGTCTGCAGTTCGACTATGCGCAGCAGCAGCAGCAGTTGCAGCAGCTCGAGGCCGGACGGAAGCGACGCCGTTCGCCGTCACCGGAGCGGAGTCGGGACTACGACCGAGACGACCGAGGCGGCGGCCGGGACAGGGACCGGGACAGGGAGGAGCGGGGCTGGAGCAGGGACAGGGATCGCGAGGACAGAGGCAGCAGGGACCGGGACAGAAGGGACAGGAAGAGCGGGTGGGACGCCTGAACGGCAGGCGTCACGTAACATCATCGCTCCTTGATCATGCCCCCCTCCTTGTCTGCAGAGAAGAAGGGATGCAGTGTTGCACCTGGCCACCAGACATCTTGTCAAGATCTTGGAGAAGAAGCGGCCGAACCTTTTTCTTCGCGAACCTTTTTCTTCTCACTACGCGCAGCGATGGATGCATCTCAAAAAAGATCTTGGTACCTGCTCGGTGCTGTGTTGGTCCTCTCGCTTCTCGCACGTAGCGTAAATGGACAGGAGGAATCTCCTCCTTCTGTTTCTCCTCCTGTTCCTTCTCCTTCCTCTTCGTGTCAGCCCGCGGTGTATTTCGATCCCCCCGTCGCCGTGAGGGGCAGCACGCTGGACGTGAACGTCTTTTGTCAAGGGGACGAGCAGTGCAACCTGACGCTTTCCGATCAAGACGTCTATGCGATTCCATCGGATTCAAGGGACTTGATCTTTCCCTTTACGCAGGCAGTGGTGCGGATGTCATCGTTTCTTTTCAATCGATCTGTGCTGGCAGACAATTAATCCCCCCCCCCCATCTGCGTGCAGAATGCGCACGTGCTCGTGCGCGCTGATGCCAGCGCACAGCTGACGGCGACGGTGACGTGTGGCAGCAAGAACACAACGGCGAACGTGACCGTCACGTCGGACGTGGACCTCCAGTTCAGCTGGACCTCCACACCGTCACCTGCGGATCAGGGCAAGCCTCTAAATGCCGCCGTCACCCTCGTCAACCGAGGAGGCCACCCCGCCGTTGGCTTTCAGTGCGAGCCGGTCACCGCCGAGCAAAACCCACCTTTTACTCTCACCTGCGACCAGCCATGGCGGTTAGAAGAGAAGACGTGCCGCCTGGACTATCTGCAGCCCAACTCGCCGGCCACTCTTTTGCTGGGCTATGACACAATCGCAGGTACCGCCTGGTCTGCTTTCTCGAACGCGGCGTGGGGGTGGTGTTCCGCATGCGAGCTGTTCCCCCAGGGCTGGGAGCTGAGTTGAACCCGACATGGGGCTTCTGCTGCTGCTGCTGCAGAGCACACCAATGTCAGCGTCGAGTGCAGAGCGCACAACCTGCCCCAACCTCTCACAACCACCTACGCGATCCTGATCAAGGACGACGCCGAAGTGCAGATCGTCACTCCCGGTGAAACCAAGGTAATCCACACACACACACACACACACACATCACAGCGGGTGAGCTGAGCAGACACCTCTCCCCCCTTATGCGCACTCACGCCTGTGGACATTCTCAGGCGATGGCGGGTTCGGACAGCACGGTGGTGACCACGATCAAGAACGTCGGAAGTGCCGTGGCCGATGGTTTCGAGTGTGACCTCGTGATCGAGAAGCCCGAGACCACGGTCTTTGTTAGTCTCAACGAAACCAAGTGCACAGCCACTGTCGACACGGTCAAGAACGTCACCACTGGCGCCCACTGCACATTCGGCGACCTATTGACCAATGGTACGGGGCACACCACCGCCATGAGTGTCAATGACCACGCGCTAACCGATCTTCGCTCTGTGCCGCCTCCGCGTAGACGAGTACTGGGTGGGGCTCACGTTTCACGTTGGCGCGGATGTCGAGGAGAGCAACCAGGCCGCGTTCAAGTGGAATTGTACCGCCGAGGGCCTGGAGACAGTGGCTGCCAGCGAGATCAAGGTGATCACTGAAGCGCGGGCCGACCTCGCACTCACCCTCCCGGCCAACTCTTCCATCGAGGGCGGCACCCAGTCGCTTCTCTTCCGCCTGAAGGTCACTCATTCCCCTTCTTCTTCTTCTTCTTCATCGTCTTCTTCTTCATCATCGTCGTCTTCTTCGCTCACACGCTCAAGCTGACTTTTGTTGCGCGCGTGGGGGGGGGGTGGCAGAATCTCGGCCCCTCCAACCTTCGGGGCGGCGAGTGCAAGTTTACGCTGTCGAAGGGCGTCGAGGCCGCCACCTGGTCGCAGTCGTCGTTCTTCAACTGCTCGCACGCGCCGTCCAGCACCGACCTGCAATGCGACATCACCAACATCCCGCCCACGGACGCGGAATTCAACCTGGGCCTCGTGCTGAAGGACCTCACCCTCAAGCAGTTCACCGTCAACGCCCTCTGCGATGCCAAGAACCCCAAGGCGCACCTGAACGAAACGTTCACCATCGATGCCGGAGTCAAACCGTCGCCTTCGCGTACGCTCTCCTCTTGCGACAGTCTCCCTCTAGCAGCTCTTTTTTTCATAATTTGCTGATTTTTTGCTCTTTACATGTCTCTCTCTCTCTTCGCCAGCCGCCCCCTCCGGCGTCGCGCCAGCGCCCGACAACACCATGATGGTTGTTGTCACGGTGATCGTGGCGCTCGGCCTGCTCATCGTCATGATCATCTGGTGGAGAAAACGGTACGCGCACACTACCTTCATCTTGGACTGGACCCAAACAACTCACCTCGCCCCTTTGCCCCTTTTGTGCTCTCGTGCAGGCAAGACGCGGCGGGATGGGAGGCCGCTGGTCCCAACCCGCGCAGTCCCTCGCTCAACCGCTTTTCGGATGTTGAGCTCTCGATCAGGTCGTCCAACTGATTCGACCGCCGTTGGCAGTCCCTGTTTGTTTGCCTCGCCCTTCTTCTTCTTCCGAATTATAATTTATTGATCTCTTCTTCCGGCCGACTGTCCTTGTCGTGTGCTGCAATGGAACGGTGAAGAAAATTATTGTGAGGCCTGAATATAGCAGCATATGTGGTTGTTGCGGTATGCTATGTGCACAGCACCGCACCGCACCCATTAATGGAGCACGATGGTGGCGAGAGAAGCCTTAGGCGAGGTCCTTCCTGAGGCACGGCTTGACCAGTTCATCCCAGTAGGGCGCCTTGCTCATCGCGCCAGGCGCGCTCTTGACCGTCTGCAATAAATCAGTCGGCGTAGATGAGCGAAGCCGTAAGCTTACAACAAAGAAATATCGGGGGGGGAGGGGCGGTGGTCCGTGAACGTGCCTGCATGTAGGCGTTGTAGATGTCTCCGTCGCTCTTACCGAGGGGCGAGTTGACCAGGAAGTCGGGCAGGTCGAAGGCGTCGGTGAGGGGCACCGCCTGCTTACGGATCTCGAGCAGCAGACCCCTGCGCGCGCCGCAAGTCAGACCAAGTCGGCGAACGCACACAGCACTCATCTGATCCAATACACCGTTGTGTGTGTGTGTGTGTGTTGTGGACGGACCTGATCTTCTTCTCGATGAGGTCGATGTGCTTCTCGTTCATGAAGCCGTCCATGAGGAAGATCTGGCTGACCTTGTTGATCCTGTTGAGCACGAAGAGCTCGAGCAGCTTCGAGAGGATCGCGGACACGTTCGAGTCCTTGCACTTGTTGCGGGCCTTCTCGACGCTTTGCACGAAGGCGTCCAACACGTAAACGTACGAGTGGTGGCTCTACACACGCACACAACCATTGGTACACCATCGTGTGTGTGTGTGTGTGTGTGTCATGTGTCGGTGCGTGTGGAAGAGGTGAAGTACCGCAGCTTGGACCAGATCGATGAGGCAGCAGTCCCAGGCCTCGGCCTTGGACTTGCCGCCCTGCATCTCCCGCTGCAGCCTCTCCGCGACTCTCGTCACAGACTTGACCGCCGCGCGCTCGAGAGCCTCCGCCAAGACACTCGCGTCGGACAGATCTAGCGCGCACCAAACACGCGGCCCACGTAAGCAACGCGAAAACGACGCTCGCATCGAGCGGCAGCGTACCCTGCTCGGTGGTCGCGCGCCATTGCGCCTGGCCCAGGATAGCCACGGTTCTCTCGAGGTACTGCACCGACCCGGTAAGCGTCTTGCCCTGGACGCACACCGGCCACGAGCGCATTGTCAGCTTTATATTATCACAAAATAAATAGAACACTATAAATAAATAAATAGAAATAATAAACAGTTACCCGCATGACTTGGCTGAGGGACTTGATGAGGTACTGCGCCGTCTGGAGCGACATCACGGTGTTGTCGCCTTCCCAGGTCTGGTTGACGGCGTAGTCGGCGATGAGGGAGGGGAGCCCCGAGTAGGAGCTGTACCCGTGCCCGCCTGTTGACCGCGTGCGCGGATCGCCACGACACAAAGTGAGCGGATCGCGCTGTTGGTTCTCACAAACGAACTGCCCGAGCGGTCGCGTACCGAGGCACTGGCGGACCTGCTCCAGGGCTTCGGCCACATACCAGGTGCACGACGCCTTGACGCCTGGTGGGTCGTGGGGGGGAGGGGCGGGGTCAGATATCAGCGCTGAGCACACAAAGCCGGAAGAAACGAGGGCAGAGGTGGGCGTACCGGCGAGGGCGGCATGAATGTCGGCAATGTTGCCGAGCTCGCCCTGCGCGAGGCTCTTGCTCAGGTGGCGGATGTCCTTGTCCACGCGGAGGGCCACGAAGTGCCAGGCGAACGCTGCCGCCAGAGGCTCCAACAAGCGAATCTACATGGGTCGGTTATATGGTGTGAAGAGAGCTCCGAACTTGTTGGGCGTTGGTCGGAGGGGCAGCGCACCTGGTGGGTCTGGTAGTCCAAAATCTGCGTCTCGAGTCCCTTGCTGGTGCTGGCAAACTGTCTGCGGATGACCGAGTACCGGATGGCTACGCAATGCGTAGTAACGTTGGGCGGGTGGTTAGTGGAGGGGGAAGGAGAGATGGGGAACGCGCGCGCCATACGACGTACCGATGATCAGGGCCTTCTCGAGGTTGTGGGCGCTGTTCATGATGAGGCCCACCCTGCCCTTCAACAGGGCGCCGTAGGCCAGCTGCGCCTTCGGCGGCTTGGTGTAGACACCCTCGGGCGAGAGCTTGGCCCACTTCATGAGCATGTTGGTGCGGGGCACCTCGACGTTGTTGAACTGCATCCAGCCGTTGTCGATGCCGTCGCGGCCCATCTTCTTGCCGCAGTCGCCGATGACGACGCCCGGCATGAGATTGCCGTTGATGTCGCGCACCTGGACCACGTACGAGTGCACGCCGTAGTCCTTCCCGTCCACCAGCAGCCGCCCGAACACCACCGTGTGCGTCGCAATGTGTGCCGCACCGCCGATCCACCACTTCGTAGCTGTACACGAACAGCACCACACGTTTAGCACCGACCCAGCTAAAGGGGCACGAGAAGAAGAGAAGAAGAAGAATGAGGACGAGAGCAGGACGTGCCGGTGATGGTGGGGGTGTTGATCACGATGACGTCCTTGGCCTTGTTGTAGGTGGCCGTGGTCTCGAAGTCGCGGATGGCGGATCCGTGGCCCATCTCAGTCATGCCGAACACGCCCACGATGCGCATGTTGTCCACGTCGTCCATGTACTTGGCCACCATCTCGTCCGTGCCCTGGCCTGCGTCGTCGCAGTCGACGGAACGAGGAGTGGTGAGCTGTCATGACTAGCCTAGTGTAGATCATGTATGGGCGAGGGGCTGCTAACGCACCGGCGATGGCGCCGCCAAAAAGGTAGGCGTGCACGCCGTAGCGCGTGTAGAAGGCGGGGTCGTAGATGCCGATGATGTTGTGCAGCAGGTAGTTCTGCTCCGGGTCCTTCTGCACCAGCTCCGCGAAGCGCTTGAGCTTCTGCATCACGCGATACCTCGCTACACGTACAACGTACGTTGCCAGCATATGTTACCACATTATACCGCACCACAACAGAACACCACTCGGTGTGTTGATGATGGAAGAGGTGTAGACAAGAGGTGGGAAAGGGGCGGTACCCTCGTCGCGGGAGCGGTCATAGTAGCCCGGGTCGATGAAGACGGGTTCGTTGCGTACGAGCTCGTAGGCGGCGTGTTTGCGCTGGGTTCCGCGTTCGCCGCCGTCCAGGAGATGGGTGAGCTCGCGCACGTTGAAGCTGGCCTGAGACCGCTCGCTGGCCATCACCGCAGGACCGTTCGAAACGTCGGGCAGGTCGAGGGCAGCAGCGCACCTCGCAATCTCGACCGCCGCATCTTCCAGTCCGCGCACGATTTTGGGCGTAAGGTGGGCCTCGATGCGGGCAACCCTCTTCGTTACAGTTGTCTGCATGCTGCTCTCCTCTTCTTGGTGTGCTGGGCCTCCTTCTGTACCGCTCTCTCACCTCAACTATTGAAAGATTAGAGAGTAGAGACGCTGATTTGTGTCTCAGTGTGGAACCGTCGCGATCCCATCTCAAAAATGTCCCATTTATGCGGACAAACGAGTTTTCTACACTTGTCAATCGAAAATTCAATGAAGAGACCCAGTCCACCAATTGCGTCGACTCATGATTTGCACCAATCCTGTGAAAGATTTGTAATTTTGCTTTTTTCTGTCGGCAAGGAAATTTCTTTTTTGAGTTTCTTTTTGGTTCCGTCTTAAAATCGGACCGCCGGACCAGACGGGCCGGACTGGTGGACCGTGTCAAAACCAGAATTTCCTGGCAAGTTTATTCCGCACAGTCCAACGACTGAAAATCGGACCAACAAACAAGAAAAAAAAGCCCTTCCGCTTGGCGTTTCGTGTGTCGGGTGGGTGTGTCAGGTTGCTGGCGTTGCTTGGCGTTTCGCGTGTCAGGAGGGTGTGTTGGGTCGCCGGCGTCGCTTGGCGTTTCGCATGTCGGGAGGGTGTGTCGGGTTGCCGGCGTTGCTTGGTTTCGCGTGTCGGGAGGGTGTGTCGGGTCGCCAGAGTTGCTTGCTCATGTGGGAATCCAAAAGGTGTGCCGCCACTCAGCAACACGGGAGAGGATGTACTTCTTCTCTGTGCGGTCGTCATCAGCAACAGCATAGAAGGAAGAGTGCCGCGCAGCCCATCGAGTGGGTGTGACGGATCGCACAGTCCCAGGCTTGGAGCCACCCATGTACCGCAAGAACAGCGCTTGCCGTTCCACCTGTGGAAGGGCGAACTGCTTCTCCAG